ACTTTTTGACTCGAGGGCCACAATGGGTTCTTAAACTGGACTGGAGGGCCGGAACAAAAGCATGGATGGAGTGTTTGTGTGAACTAATATAAATTCAAAGTAAACATCATTACATAAAAGGGTACGGTCTTTTTTTTTTTAGTTTTATTCATTTTAAACGGGCCGGATCCAGCCCGCGGGCCATAGTTTGCCCACGGCTGGTCTAGGCCTTGGTTTTAGGGTTTAGACCAGCGGTTCTCAACCTGTGGGTCGTGACCCTTTTGGGGGTTGAAAGACCCTTTCACAGAGGTCGCCTAAATACATCCTGCATATCAAATATTTACTTTACGATTCATAACAGTAGCAAAATTACAGTATGAAAGTAGCAACGAAAACAATTTTATGGTTGGGGGTCACCACAACATGAGGAACTGTATTATAGGGTCGCAGCATTAGGAAGGTTGAGAACCACTGGTTTAGACAAAGGTGTAGCTAGTAGCATTTATTGTGTGCCTGACAGTGTTATAAGCATTTTATGTACATTTTTTCATTAATTCTCATAAGAACCCAATAATGTAGGTACTATTTTTGTCTGCATTTTAAAAATAAGTATGTTTTTATTATTTTTTTAGAGAGAGGAAGGGAGAGGAAGATAGAAACATCAATTGGCTGCTTCCTGCATGCCCCCTACTGGGGATGAGCCCACAACCTGAGCATGTGCCCTGACTGGGAATCTAACCGATGATCTCTTGGTTCATGGGTTGATGCTCAAACCACTGTACCACACCAGCCAGGCTTGTCTGCATTTTGTAGATGAAGGGACTAAAGCTCAGAAAAGTTAAATAACTTGCTCTAGGACTTGACTGTTAAAAAGTAGGAGCTGGAATATTTTTAAAAATTGATTTTAGGGAGAGAGAGAAAGAGAAAGATTGGTTTGTTGTTGCTAGTATGTGCCCTGACTGGGGATTGAACCTGAAACCTTGGTGTAGCAGAGCGATGCTTTTCTAACTGAGTTACCTTGCCAGAGCTGGAATTATTTTTCAGAAACTGTTTATAAAAATATTTTCAATAACAAATTTTATACTGTAGCATAGTTTCCAAGCCATCGTCTTGAGAAGTCTGCAACTCACATTGATTTAGCTATTAAAATCAATGCTTATAACTGGGGGTGGCCAGGGGCGGGGAGGAGATAGTATAATAGTTTTTGCTAATACATGGGCTGGGTATTTCTGAGATCTTTAAAATTTTGAGACAAAGGCATTTTTAGAAAATATAAAATAACTTAAGTGACATTTCAAAAATATTTTGTTTCCTGATAAATCTGTATCAGTATATAAAGCCAACACTCAGGCAAGCAGGAAAGAACTTTTTTAATATATATATTTTATTGATTTTTTACAGAGAGGAAGGGAGAGGGATAAAGATTTAGAAACATCGATGAGAGAGAAACATCGATCAGCTGCCTCCTGCACACCCCCCTACTGGGGATGTGCCCGAAACCAAGGTACATGCCCTTGACCGGAATCAAACCTGGGACCCTTCATTCCGCAGGCCAACGCTCAATCCACTGAGCCAAACCGGTTAGGGCGAGAACTTTTTTGAATGTAGGTAAATAAGTGCAAACTATTGAAATTACATGAGTCAGAGGACTTAAGACGTTATCTTTGAAGCACCTATGCATGGATTTGTGCTAATTATTAATGAAATGTATTTTTCTAAATTGAAATTCTTAAAGTTAGATTAAAACATAAGTTATATGTTTGGCAATGAAACTGTTTATTTAAATGCATTTGCTTTGAAAGGTTAAATCATAATTACTCATTGCTTTTTTAAATGCATAATAAAATACACAAAACTTAAATGAAGATTTCGGACAAATAAGGTATCTTTTTTCATGCTTTGATATTTTGACTGTTTTCTTTGTAAAGTCAAATACGAAACTTTAAATGTCATTGTTAGTGATAATTAACTTACTTGTCAATAACTTGGGCCAATCTGAAAGATTTTACATCTTTTTAAAGTTAAATTAAAACAATTTCAGTTTAAGTGCCCTCTTGTGGTAGATTGTATGTGTACTCCTGGTGAAAGTTTTAAAGCCGTATATGTACTAGTATACTGCTCAGATCACAGTATGTGGAGATTTGGTGTATCCACTCCCTGGAAGCCCAGAAGTTGAAAATGATGATGAATCGTGTCTAATGGCGGGGGGTGGGGGGGTGGGGGGGGGCATGTCTAAAACAAAGTCTGGGGCAGTGAACAAGTTTTAATTATATTGCTAGTAGTTTGTAAAAATAGTTTTTCCATTATTGCTTTTAATTGTTTAACATTCATTTAAAAATACGTTTTTTATTGGTATAGGTTAGTGAAGCATAAAATAAAAGAAAGGTTCGTTTTAGTCTACCTGAGGAACCAAGATGTTGGGTAAACAATGTAGAGATTGGGAGAGCCAGTTTTCTTAATTATTGCTTTCATCCTGTCAATCATTTGCTCTGAAATTGGGACTTTCAGTAAAATAGTAATTGCAAAATTAGGGAAATGACCCTTTCCTGTCATTCTCCATTATGAAAATTACCTTGAACACAGCATTTAAAAACTGTATTTTTTAATTTGCCAAATAAACTAAACTATACTTTTTAACCTACACAGCTTTGCTTATAAGGACACCAGGCATTCGATTTAGGGCTTACATTAAGTCCAGAGATCCTTAGCTAATTATGTCTTCCAAGACCCTATTTCCAAATAAGGTCACATTCTAAGGTTTCAAGTGGACGTGAATTTCTTAGTTTCTGTGGGTTTGTTTAGAAAGGAAACTAAAACTTAATGTTAGTCATTAACCTCTTATCTTGCCAGAGTAAAAAAAAAAACCAAATAAACTTTATAATGTAGACATATGTATGTTTGCTTATAAATATAATTTTTGGGCAAAGGTTTTCATCCCAGCCATCCTTTCCTGCCATCCAGTGAGCTCTTTGTGCTGATTGTGTCTGTAGGGAAGCCAGGTCAGTTGGGCTTATACAAAGAACATTGTAGGGACAGAACTGTAAAAACCACATTTTAACCCCAAAATCAAATATACATACAAAACAATGTATATTTATATAGAAAAGCTGCTGTTGTCACTTAATGTGGCACACAAGAACTATTGTTTTTATTCTGCTCATCAAAGATGATACTAAACACTGACATATTTTTTTCTTCTTGAAGCTACATGTAGAGGGACAAATTCTTGGAAAGCATAAAGCAGCAAAACAGAATTAATAACTGCTATTGCTTTCAAAGAAAACTTGTTTTAATATTTATGTACCTAGTCACATTTACATGCTGTACATAAGTATTAAAACAAGTTTTCTTGTTGAGGGCACATGCCCAGGTAGCGGGTTCAATCCTCAGTAGGGGCTGTGCAAGAGGCAGCCAATCAGTGATTCTCTCTCATCATTGATGTTTCTCTCTCTCTCTCTCTCCCTCTCCCTTCCTCTCTGAAATCAATAAAAATATATTTTTTAAAAAAGGAAAATATTGTCAATGTTAAGTGTCACCTTTGATGAGCAGAATAAAAAAAATAGTTCTTGTGTGCCACATTTTTAGAGGGATATTGACAAACTGTACATTTAGGGGAAGAATATTAGGGTAATGAAGACTGGAAAACATGGTAGTTGAGGAATGATTTAAATATTGAAGCATATTTGGCCTGAAAAGGAAAAAAAAAAGGTAAAATTATAGATGTTGTAAAAGATTTGAAAGACTGTGTGTGGAGGACGTATTAGGTTTATTTCACTTAATTTCTAGCAGGCAGAACCAGGACTAATTGGATACATTAGGTTTGCATCAACTCATTATAAAGAGAACCTTTCTAAAAGAGCAATTCCAGTTTAAAACAGACTACCATATGAAGTAGTGAGTTCGATGCTAAGATGAAGATTAAAATTACAAGTAAGTGTTCTTTGTTCAAATGGAAATTCTGCAGATGCCAGCATGGACTAAGCCAGTCAGCAGTTAGGGACCCTTTCAATAGTCTCTGAGTTGCTTGAAAAAAAGTGGACGGAATCTCCATTTAATTAAACTTATTTTCATAACATTTCATTTAAAAGTTTTTAAAATTTATTGTTTGATGTTTAGAGAGAGGAAGGGGGAGAGAGAGAAACATTGACTTGTTGTTACACTTATTTATGCATTTATTGGTTGATTCTTATATGTGCCCTGACTAGGAATGGAACCTGGAACCTTGGCATATCGGGGATGATGTTCTAACCAACTGTGCTATCTGGTCAGGGCTCCATACTATTTCATTTCAATATTGATATCTTATGCTAGCAAATTATATTTTCTACCCCAAAAACATACTTATATGTTTTTATTGATTTTTTTAGGAAGAGGGAGAGAGATAGAAACATCGATGAGAGAGAGACATCAAAGTTGATTGGCTACCTCCTGCATGCTCCCCTGCTGGCGATTGAGCCTGCAACACAGGCATGTACCCTGACAGGAGACCTCGGGTATAAAGGTCAACGCTCAACCACTGAGCCTCACCAACTGGGCCCCAAAACATTTTTGTGTAAAATTTTTTTTGGTTCCACTGAAATGTGTTGATATTTCTGAATAAACAGAGAAAAGCAAAAATTATGGAAAGAATTTACCATCTTTATCACAGGGCAAATCCTTAAGATTGATATTTTAGAAAATAAAGAATCAGGCAGTGATATAACTTATGCTCAAAGCTCACTAAGTACTTTCTGATTTGATATTATCACTTAATTGGATTTTTGATTTGGTATTGCTGTTTGAAAGCTGTTTATTAATATTTTTGATTAGAGAACTCTGACATCTTTAACATTGTAAATTAGAATAAGACTATTGTCATTGCTCAGTCATAAATAGTTAGTAGAAATTCCCATTATAGAGTGAAATTTAGAGCAGATTTAAAAAATGATCTTCAGGAATTGTAAAAAGTTTCCAACATAAATATACTAACCTCATATGCCAGCAGATGCTGATTTGAAAAATTAAAGCTAGATACGTAAAGGAACCGTTTATTAATCTTTTTAAAATTTCTCATTTAAAATTAATTTTTGTTTTTATAATTTTGGTAGCCTTCTATTTATCTATGATTTACTATATCCTTCCTTTCTTCAGAATGCCTTAATGATTCAGTCCTGAAATTCTGCTAAATTTTTTTATTTACTACCTTAATAGTAATAATGTTTTATGTTTATTGATCACTAATAATGTGTCCAGGCACTATGATGGAAGCCTTATTATCATATTTTCGATTGTTACAGTAGCCTTGGAACAGGTACTGTATAGTAAAAAAAATGCCTCAGAGGCTCAGAGAGGTTGTTCTTATCCATGTTCACATATTTCCTAAGTGACTGAGCGCATTTAAAGCCAGATCTCTCAAAGCCCAGTTCTTTCAACTTCACGAATTTGCCTTTGAGTACATAGCAAAGTTGGACTCCTTCTCATCAAGTACCTCACATGCACTCCTGAATTTCTTTTGAATGAGAGAAGAAATACCATCATACATGTTTTTCTAAGTCTGGTCCTAACATTAATTTGCCTGTTTTTAGTTAGTGACTATCCCTGTTGAAGTTTCTATCTCTGTTATAAGTGAATGGGACCTTGAGAGATTTAAACAGGAAAGGTAGCTAGCTGCTCCTCTTCTCTCTAGTTTGAGTTTTATCTTAAGAGTGATGAGACATTATTGCTCTATTGGGATGATTCCTTCAAAGACCAAAATTTAGCAGACCATTTCATCATTTTGATGGAAATGCTTCTAAATTATATTGTAAAGTGGATCTGCTTTGTGCCTGCCATGTGCAGAGTTTAAATATTTCTGGTTAAAATTCTGCTCATCATATTGTTATATTGTTAATCTTAAAGTCGATTGAAGTATAACCAAGAGTCAAGACTGTCCTCCACCAAGTATTCACAGGTTCTGACTTTTGAGATCCTGTTTCTCTGTCATGCTTTGAGATATATCCTACTGTGCTGTTGTACTAATACCTCTCCCCTCTACTACTCATAAATTCTTTTGTCCTAAGCTGCTGTGGGCTGGAAATAAAAATAGAGTTTGCTGAAATAAAATAAGAAAAACTTGAGTTTGAATGAGACTTCAAGGGATCTCTTGTGAGCAAATCTATTGAGCTTTAGTACACAAACTTTATGTCACATATTTTAATTTTTTTTAAATTATATTTTTATTGATTTCAGAGAGGAAGGGAGAGGGAGTGAGAGTTGGAAACATCAATGATGAGAGAGAATCACCGATTGGTTGCCTCCTGCACACCCCCCACTGGGGATTGAGCCCGCAACCCAGACATGTACCCTTGACCGGAATCGAACCTGGGCCCCTTCAATCCGCAGGCCAATATTCTATTCATTGAGACAAAAAAGCTAGGGTACATATTTTAATTTTCATTGAATAGGTGAAGTTGTCAGATAAGTGCCAGTATGTCTAACATAGGAAGTGTTTTTATACCTTTTTTTAAACAGAGAAGAAGATACAGAAAATGAAAATGAAAAGAAAATTTGGTACTACAGTACAAAGGTCCAGCTTGCAGAATTAATTGACTGTCTAGACAAAGATTACTGGGAAGCAGAACTCTGCAAAATTCTGGAAGAAATGCGTGAAGAAATTCACCGGCACATGGACATAACTGAAGACTTGACCAATAAGGCTAGGGGTAGTAATAAATCCTTTCTGGCGGCAGCTAATGGTGAGAGAGAAATTTTCTCATTTTACTTTTTGTTAAATCTAAGATAAATTCTTGGAATGAAATCACTACAAAATTTGAAAATGTATTAAAAATTTCAAATGTGTATTTATATATTTTTTAAAATATATTTTTGCTGATTTCAGAGAGGAAGGGAGAGAGAGAGAGAAACATCAGTGGTGAGAGAGAATCATTGATTGGCTGCCTCCTATGTGTCCCACACTGGGGATCGAGCCTGCAACCCAGGCATGTGCCCTGATGAGGAATTGAACCGTGACCTTCTGGTTCATAGGTCGATGCTCAACCACTGAGCCATGCGGGCAGGGCGAAATGTGTATATTTTACCTGAATTCTCTATATTTCATTTTCCCAGGAGAACCTTGTTCATCCCGACATAAATTATAGATGCTATGCATTTTTTGAAGTTTTGTATCTTGCCCTGGTCATTACTAATATTCCCCAAATTATTCAACTACTGCCCAGGTAAAAAGAGGATTAGAGCCCTTAGGGGTTTAATGATTTTTTATTTTTTCCAGAATAGTTATGGGACTTCAGGGAGAAATGTGGTTTCTAAATGGGCCTCTGTTTTCTCATTTTATAGTGGAGGACTGAAGGTTAAGTAGCTTGCCCAGGGTCACACAGCTAATTCAAGTCAGATCTGCACTAGGTCATGGGACCTCTAGGTTTTTGATCACTGTACCATGTTGCCCAAACCATGTGTCTATGTCAGCTAACAATTTTTCTCATATGACAGAGAATATGACGGTAATCTGTAATCAAGTTTCAATTTCTTAAAATAAAAAAAATAAAAAAACTAGAACCTATATTAACATGTATTTTCTAAAAGTGAAGATAACCAAATTGGTTGAGTTCTTTAAACATCAAAATTTTATTGATGCTCTTGATTCTTATTTCATAGTTGTAATGCTTTTAAAAGATTTAACTTTAATAACTTGAATTGAAACTCTTAAGTGACATTTGTAGTACTTTTATATTTGGTATATATGGAAACAAAGTTTTTTGTTTTTATTCTAGAAGAAATTTTAGAATCCATAAGAGCAAAAAAGGGAGAGATTGATATTGTTAAAAACCCAGAAGAAGTAGAAAAGGACAACAGTGAGACTGAGAATAACTCCAAAGATACTGAGAAAAGTAGAGAGGAGTTCGAAGACCAGTCTCTTGAGAAAGACAATGACAGCAAGACACCAGATGATGATCCTGAGCAAGGAAAATCTGAGGGTAAAAAAAATTACTTGTTAAAAAATATATTTGATCAGTGTTATTTATGAAATCTCCAGTTTTACTTGCAAAATGAAAACAAATTACTTTTATATAAGCAACTATTTAATTTTGTGTTTCTAAAGAGATTAGGATACCCTTCCCTCTTGTAACATATATAATCATTGTACTGAGTTTTATATATTGGTTTATTTGCTATAATGTTATGCTCATATCTCTATTTCTACTTCCTAATAAGGTACCATGTCTCTTTGAGATTTGTTGGTGAAAAATCATTATTTTAATACCAGAATATGCACTTTTGTATGTGATAAAATCTGTTCATTTTCATATTAATTACTTAAACATTCTTAGCATGTTAAGTATTAAATACTTTTTGGATTATCTACTGCAAAAATAGCCCAGAATCTGATTGCTTCAAAATGGCCATCAAATAAAAGTTGATTGAATGCGGCCATATGTCTAAAGCAATTTTAAAGGATATCTTTAAAGTTTTGTTGTGCATTTTACTATAGAGCCAACAGAAGTTGGGGATAAAGGTAACTCTGAGTCAGCAAATCTTGGCGACAACACAACAAATGCTTCTTCAGAAGAGACTAGTCCCTCTGAAGGGAAGAGTCCCGTGGGGTGTCTCTCAGAAACCCATGATAGCAGCAACATGGCAGAGAAGAAGGTGGCATCTGAGCTCCCCCAGGATGTGCCAGGTACAGAGGGCAGTGTATCAATGCCTCTGTAATGGGGGGAATCCTTCCCTTTAAAGCTGAATGTCACCTAAAACTTTCTATGTTCATTCATGCTGCTTGCTTACATTACATAAGTGCCATCCCTGATTGCTAAATTGTCATCTAACATTTGGAGTTTGACAAATGTTCTTGCAGTTAGGCTTGAAACTCATCATAATCTTCATGCTTTTTAAAGTTCATTTAGATGTTTTTGTCTAGTAGGCTTATTTGTATGTTTTATCACCAGACCATAGTGGCAGATATTTTGGTTTTAAGTACTTACGTACTAATGTCTCAGTGTTGAATATTTGACCATTTCAGTTCTGTATGTGCTAACTGATTAATTTCATGTTTGCATGTGCTCATATAGTTTTTTTTTAACATTTCAAACTATAAAATCATAGTAGAAAAACATTGTCATAAAACATTTTTTGCAAGATATATTTGACATAAAAATGTAAGTTAATAAATAGTTTATTTTAAACTTTTTATAATTTAAATTATACTGAATATAAGTTATATTACACCAAGAATGTTGTTATGCCTTTCTTTTTGCACTTTTTAAAAGTGAAAAAATTTTTATTATAGGAGCTATACTAGTATGTGTGTTTTTTAAATACAAATTAGGAAATTTAGATAAACAAGAAAGTAAACACTGTTAATTCCACTAAAAATCAAGGATTATAATTAATGTTTATGGAAATTCTGAAAGATTTTTTATAAAAATTTCACATAATTCCCCCCCCCCCCCCCTTTTATTTTAGTTATTCTGGTAGGAAGGTAGGGATATCTTATTCTGGTTTGAGGATGTTGAGCACTTTTGTGTGTGTATATATATGTATGTACATATGTATAAGGACATATAGCTCATTTGGTTATCTTTTGTGAAGTGCTGGTAGGTTCCTTTGTTCATTTTCATTTTTTAGATTTTTATTATTTTTTTTAAGAGGAAAAGGAAAGAGAGAAAAACGTTAATTGGCTGCCGCTTGCACACCCCTGCCATGGGAGCATGTGCCCTGACTGGGATTCAAACTGGCAGCTATTCAGTGCACGGGAGTGCATGAAATGGTACCCAACCAACTGAGCCACACCGGCCAGGGCTCCTTTGTTCATTATCTGTTAAGTGGTCTCTTTTTTGTTTGTGGTTTCATGGGTGAGGGTAAATCCAGTCCCCCTGTTCCACCTTGACTGGAATCAGAAGTTGCTACATTGAATTTTTTTGTGTTAACCCAATCTCATACTCCTAAAGTAAATACTACGTGGTTGTGATGTATTTTCATTCTTATTTAGTGTTTCATCCTATTTATTAATATTTTGTTTAGGATTTTTGTATCTACTTTCATGAGTGAGAGAGGCTTAGTTTTCCTTCTCTGATAATGTCCGTGCCAGGCTTTGGTGTCAGGATTATACTGGCTTCATAAAATGAGTTGAACAAGTTCCCATTTTCCCTTGTCTGCAAGAATTTTGTGGGTTGTGTTATTTATTCTTTAAATGTTTGTTGAAGCCATCTGGTCCAGGAGTTTTCATTTAATAAGTTACATTTTTCTAGGAATCTATCCATTTCATTTAAATTTTATTGGCATAAAACATCCCATCTTTATTGTTTACAGGATCTGTAGTGATACTTTTTTCAGTCCAAAAATTGGTTATCTGTTCTCTCTTTTTTTTTCTGTTAATCCTCACCTGAGGCTATTTTTTCCATTGCCCCAGATACTTTTTTCCTGCATCTGCATTACAGACCTTTTTTGTTGTTGTTATTAATCTTCACCTGAGGATATTTTTCCATTGATCTTTTAGAGCAGCGGTTCTCAACCTGTGGGTCGGGACCCCTTTGGGGGTCGAACAACCCTTTCACAGGGGTCGCCTAAGACCATCGGAAAACACATAAAACACATATTGTTTTTGTGATTAATCACTATGCTTTAATTATGTTCAATTTGTAACAATGAAATTGGGGATCACCACAACATGAGGAACTGTATTAAAGGATCATGGCATTAGGAAGGTTGAGAATCACTGTGTTAGAGAGAGTGAAAGAGAGAGAGAAACATGGATGTGAGAGAAGCACATACATCTATTGGTTGCCTCTTGTATGTGCCCCAACCAGGGCCTGGGCCAGGGAGGAGCCTGCAAGCAAGGTATGTGCCCTTTGGTCCACAGGCCAGTGCTCTATCCACTGAGCCAAACCAGCTAGGGCTTCATTACAGACATTTCACTTTGGTTCATGAACATGGTTATATTGCCCCAAACGACCCCATGTAGCAAGTATTCTATTTTGTATTCAGTATAACTTCTTTGTAGTTAACAAAAGGCTTAATATTCAAATTTACACTTTTGTCCTGGAGTTTAGATGGGAAACTTTTTGCACCAGATTATGTTTTAAATTTATTAGGGGCAAGAGTGATACATGTCTTTCTAACACCTTAAACTCAAATCTATTATTGAGAATTTGTATTTAAACATATAATGCAGACAGCATTTGTTTCATTTTATGCCTCTAGATTTAATCCCTGAGATTAGGAAAATAATAGTAGTAGATAAAACTTCATTTCCATAAATATTTATAATTGCTTTAAAAATGTTTCCATGAACATAATGAAACTAGCATCTACAAAATTGAACTACAAGAGCTTACTGATTTTAACCAATTTCTTTTTTTTAAATATATTTTATTGATTTTAGAGAGGAAGGGAGAGAGATAGAAACATCAGTGATGAGAGAGAATCATTGATTGGCTGCCTCCTGCACGCCCCCCACTGGAGATCGAGCCTGCAAACCAGGCATATGCCCTTGGCCGGAATTGAACCTGGGACCCTTCAGTCCGCAGGCCGACACTCCATCCATTGAGCCAAACCAGCTAGGGCTTTAACCTATTTCTTAATTTTTTAGGGATAATGACATCTTGGAATATAGTACTTGGCTTTAATTTTGTTGTTGTTTTTAATTGACTTCTGAGAGAAAGGGAGAGGGGGAGAGAGAGAGAGAGAGACATCAGCGATGAGAGAGAATCATTGATTGGCTGCATCCTGCATGTCCCACAACGGGGATCCAGCTGGCAACTGGGACATGTGCCCTGACCAGAAATCGAACCATGATCTCCTGGTTCATAGATGGACACTCAAACACTGAGTCATGCCGGCCGGGCCTTGGCTTTAGTTTTTAATTATATTGTAAGATAAATTCAATGGATAAGAAGCTGTTAAAACTGAATGCTCAACTAATGTATTATCCATATATTTTACCTCATTGATTTGATCAGTAATGGCTTTTGTAGGTTCTGCAGTTAAATACTCTTGTTTATTATTATTTTTAATGTGTTTTGTTTTAGTTTCTAATCATATACATTCTGGTTATTTTACCCGTTTTTTTTCTTTTAAAAAGTTTCCCTTTTGCCGAAACCGGTTTGGCTCAGTGGATAGAGCGTCGGCCTTCGGACTGAAAGGTCCCGGGTTCGATTCCGGTCAAGGGCATGTACCTAGGTTGCGGGCACATCCCCAGTAGGAGATGTGCAGGAGGCAGCTGATCGATGTTTCTCTCTCATCGATGTTTCTGACTCTCTATCTCTCTCCCCTCCTCTCTGTAAAAAATCAATAAAATATATTTATTCTTTTAAAAAGTTTCCCTTTTACTATCATGTGGAAAAGTTATTTTTTCCCTTGCAGTTTTTTTGCTTAGAATGTTCAGAATTTGAAGATCAAGGTCTTCAAATACATTTTTTTATTGATTTGAGAGAGGAAGGGAGAGGGAGAGAGATAGAAACATCAATGATGAGAACCATTGATTGGCTGCCTCCTGCATGCCCCCCACTGGAGATCGAGCCTGCAACCTGGGCATCTGTCCTTGATAGGAATTGAACCCGGGATTCTTCAGTCCACAGGCAGATGGTCTTTCCACTGAGCCAAGCCAGCCTGGGCGGTTAATGGTATTTTTAGATCAAAATACTTATTACATTATTATTATTATTATTATTATTATTTTTATTTTTATTTTTATTTTTATTATTATTCCTAGAGGCCTGGTGCATGAAATTTGGCCATCGGGTGGGGTCCCTAGGCCTGGCCGGTGATCAGGGCCTATCAGGTTCCCCGCCTCCCCCCTCCTCTTTCCCTTGCCACCAGCATCTGCCGCTACCCACCCCCAATTCCCCATCCCAGCCTAGGGCCTGGCCTGGGGAGGGACTGGTAGGTTGGCTGGTAGGCCCCATTGGCGATCGTGGCCTGCAGGTTGGGGGCAGCTCCTGCGTTGAGCGTCTGCCCCCTGGTGGCCAGTGCCCATCATAGCGACCGGTCATTCCATCATAACAGTTGCTTAGGCTTTTATATATAAATAGATTATTATTATTTTCATTAATTTTAGGTGGGGAGAGAGTGAGAGAAGCATGGATGTGAGCGAAACATTGATTAGTTGCCTCCCGTATGCACCCTGATTGGGGATTGAACTCACAACCTAGGTATGTGCCCTGACCCATAATTGAACCTACGACCTTTCCTTGTATAGGACGTTGCTCCAACCAACTGAGCCACACTGGCCAGGGCGATTGCCTATTATTTTATGAAGTGCCATTATCTCCCTAGTAGCAGAGAGCACTTTCTAAGAAAGTATTTAAGACATGTATAGTTAGAATCTCTTAAGTTCCAATCTCAGAATTATTTTCTTGGTTAAAAACATACTTGGGTATATTATGTGCTAAAAGAGGTTTTTGCAGGCTGATCTAGAACCTTTTTCTTACATATTTCTATGGGAAAATGTACCCTGAACACATAAATAAGGGTATATCTTATATATTACTTTATTATTTGAGAAAATTATGTTTAGACAATTATGCAGTAGGTATGCTACACTTTTCATATTTAGATCTGTAGCTGTAAAAGGAATGATTAGTGAGGAAACTGATGTGGTTTACTTCTTTTCTTCCAGCTCTATGTATTTTTCCAACGTGAGTTAGTTTATTGTATTACTGGTTTGTAGCTCTCAAATTTTAAGTTTGCCCTTTCTGTCTTTAATATAAAATTTTTTCATTATGAAAAATTTTAAACATACACAAAAGTTCAATGGATGCCCCCAACTTATCTAACACTTAGATTTAAAAATTATTAAGATTTAGTCATACTTGCTTCACCCTTGCTTTTTAAAAAAACAACTCTGTTGTTGTTTTTTGGCTCATAGTAAAAAAATTTTTCCCTTTTGATCCCAGGATTACAGTATTAGGTAAATCATTATCCTTAGTTAATTACCTTTATCACTAATCATTGCATGGTTCTTCTTGATTTATTCAGGTTTTAACTTATCTTTAATAATGAGACAGGAACCTATCACCCCAAACAAAAAAGCAAAGTCCTGCTTTGAAACTAACCTGCATCTAACTAAACATCTCCCCAGTTCCATCCTCTGCCTCCCTCTCCACTACCTGAAGTGTTCACTATCTTCTTTCCTTCTTACAAGGGAAACCCGATAGAGTTAGAACTGTTGATACCTGATGTCAAAGTGATATATAAGCCACATACTCTTGCCTCATTTAATTGATCTATATGATTTGCTAAAAACTATATATTTCTGTTTTTGTTGTTTTAAACTTTATAGCAAGTGTATTGTGTTAAGTATATCTTATTGAGTGTATTGTGTTAAGTTTTGGAACTTAATTTTTTCACTTTATATTATATTACTAGTATAATGTTGTATGTTGCTGGAATTCTTTCATATTAACTGCATTATACTAGTCCTCTGTATAACTATACCGTTTGTTTATTCTCTTTCCTGTTGATGTGAATTTGGGTTGCAGTATTTTAAAGCAAATTTCAAACATATTATACCAACCCTACGTACATTTCTAAAGAATATGGACATTGTCTTACATAATTACATTACCATTATCATTTTAATAAAATTGACATTTCCTTAGTATTCAGTTTAAATTTCCTTACTTAAAAATGTTTTTGTTTTGTTTTACATTTGTGTTTGAAATAACTTCATATAAGTTCCCTATGTGACATGATACTTGGTTTTATATCTCCTGAGACTCTTAATGTAAAGCACTCCCCCCCTTCCCTGACTTTTTTCTTTCACATGTTGTTGACTTGGTGAAGAATCCTAGTGTGTTCTATGGAATGTCCCACATCCAGGTTTTGTCTGTTTCCGTCCTCTTGGTGTTGTTTAATTTGTTTCTGAAGGCTTGATTAAATTCATTTTCAACTATTTTTGGCCAGAATATTTTCAGAGCCAGGAGCTGGTATCTAGTTACCCTTCAGTGGGGATTCATGTGTTAGGACTTTTGGGGGAGGGGCATGGCTTTCTCATTTTAAGTATCCATTTGAACTCCTGGTCATTATATATTCAATTTGTTTCAGTTGTCGTCATAATTCACTTTACGTATGTGAACCAGCAGCCCCCCTTCACTCCCCTTCACGCTGGCTTTGGGTTCTTTTGCGATGACCCAGTAGTCTTAGATAGCTTTCTTGCTTTTTGGCCGTATAAGATGTTTGAGGCTTATCATACACATTTTCTACCTCAGAACACATTTCCTACCCCAGACTTGGAATTAGTCATTTCTCCAAGAAGCTCTGGTGTCTTTTGGTGGGGAATGATATTTAGAGACCATAATCTGGGCCGTGGGGTACTTATTACTCTTGGGCTGTCACTGCCTCTAGGTTTTTTGGTGGGTAGAGTTAGAAAATACTTTTTAAAAAAAAGACCATCAGTTCATATTGACATTTCAAATTCAGATTGAGGATTGCATACTTAGTTTCTTTGTTTTTGTACTTGTATCTCTTTTCTCTTATACTGAAAGCCTTAGTGCATTGGTTCTCAACCTGTGGGTCGCGAACCCTTTGGGGGTCGAATGACCCTTTCACAGGGATCGCCTAAGACCATCGGAAAACACATATATAATTACATATTGTTTTTGTGATTAATCACTATGCTTTAATTATGTTCAATTTGTAACAATGAAAATACATCCTGCATATCAGTTATTTACATTACGATTCATAACAGTAGCAAAATTACAGTTATGAAGTAGCAACGAAAATAATTTTATGGTTGGGGGTCACCACAACATGAGGAACTGTATTAAAGGGTTGTGGCTTTAGGAAGGTTGAGAACCACTGCCTTAGTGCCTTACAGCAGTGACTTAATTATATATTTGCTTTATCTTGGTGCAGATGTCCATTAATGATGACATATTATTAATATCTTGATGTACATTAAAATAGTAATGAAAAGATGCCCTGAGTGGTTTGGCTCAGTGGATAGAGCGTCGGCCTGCGGACTGAAGGGTCCCAGGTTCGATTCCAGTCTTAAATTAAAAAAAAAAAAAAGTAATGAAAAGAAATGATTTTATAGATCCTAGTAATTTCATAATACTGATATAATTGGTAATAGTAAGACTACTGAATGGCAGACTTCTTTTGCAGTTCTTTACTTATCCTTATACCATATTTCCAATGAGGATGTACAGTCAAAATATTGTGTCCCAAAGTCACTTGAAATAATTGTGGATGCCAATAACTTGATATACAGTTAGGGTTTATTTGGTTTAGATTGTTTTAATTTTAATTTTTTTTAAAAGTAAAACATTGGCACGATTCCAAAGTCAAACTATGTAACTGTATGTGCAGAGAACTTTTACTTTCATCCATTTTCTCTCTACTATCCAGATTCTTTCCTTCACTTACACTGCCATTCTGGTTATTCCCATTTTTTTAAAAACATTTTTTAAAAATATTTTTATTGATTTCAGAGAGATAAGGGGAGAGAGAGAGAGAAAGAGAGAGAAGAAACATCGGTGATGAGAGAGTCATTGATCAGCTACCTCTTGCACGGACCCTACTGGGGATCGAGCCTGCAACCCAGGCATGTGCCCTTGACTGGAATAGAACCTGGGACCCTTCAGTCCTCAGGCCGATGCTCTACCCACTGAGCCAAACCAGCTAGGGCTGTTTGTTTGTTTTTGTAAATAAAAGCAAAATATGTTCATAAATTCATATTTCCCCTTGTTGCACAGAAGTTAGCATACTATAAGTATGGTTATATGGATATAGTGATTTCTGCAATCCTTGTTATGGTGCATGATATTTCATTGTGTATGTCATCTTTTATTCAACCCTATTGATGGGCATTTTGTTTGCTTCCTTTTTTTTGCCATTATAAATAATGCTACAATGAATAGCTCTATAAATAAGTAATTTAGTATTTTTGCCAGGGTATTTTGGGATAGGTTTCTGGACATGGGATTGCTAAAGAGAAAAATGTATGTATAATTTTTCTAGATATTATCAGATTCCTTTTATACATTGGGGACCATTTTGCATTCCCACAGCAATGTTGGGAGTGCTGTTAACCCACTGCCTCTCTATCTGAGTGTATTGAGAGACTTGGATTTTTGCAAATCTGATAGCTGAGAAGTAGTTTCTTCATTTAGTTATTTTGCATTTCTTTTAGTTTGAATTGTGAGCATAGTTCCATATGTATAAAGGTAATTTTCATCTCTTTTGTGACTGTTCATATAATTTCCAATTTTTCTATCAAGTTGTTGAGTTTTTTCCTAAAAAAAAATTTAGAAGCTCATTATGTTAGAGATAGCCTTTGTAATTTACTGCCAATCACTTTTTCTTTTGCCTTATATTTATTGCCCTTAACTTTTTTGTTGTTATTGTTAATCCTCACCCGAGAATATTTTTCCATTAATTTTAGAGAGAATGATGAAAGAGAGGGGGAGAGACAGAGAAACATCAGTGTAAAACCAGGGCCGGAATTGAGCCTGCAACTGAGATATGTGCCCTTGATCGGGAATCAAATCTGGGACCCTTCAGTCCGTGGGGCTGACCTCTATCCACTGAGCCAAACTGGCTAGGGTCTGTCAATCACATTTTAATTTAGGTGATTGATTTAAAGAGCATCTTACTAGTGACAGTGAAATGCATAGGGAGGCTTTAAATTTATTAAATTTTTCTTAAAATTAACAGTCACTTAGGTATTACCTCTACTTAATTTGGAGGCATATAGAATTCAGGCAGAGAACTTTAGAGGTAAAGAATCCTGTTTAAATCTGTTTCTAATACTGTTTGAATACTTTTTTTTGTTGTTGTTAATCCTCACCTGAGTATATTTTTCTGTTGCTTTTTAGGGAGAGTAGAAGAGAGGGAAAGACAGAGAGAAACACACCAATTGGTTGCCTCCCCCACAAGCCCTGGGTCAGGAAGGAGCCTGCAACCAAGGTACATGCCCTTGACCGGAATAGAACCCGGGACCCTTTGGTCTGCAGGCTGGCGCTATCCACTGACCCAAACTGGCTAAAGCTTGAATACTTTTTGAAAAGTAAGAATATAAAGTTCAGATTTTGGGGATTATCTCAACAAAATCACTTCTGCAGTATCTGCTACACTAAGTTTTGTGAGATAGTTGCATTATTCTTTAGTTCTGGGGTATCTAAAAAATTGTCTGCTTTGTACTGTAGGCTAAGATGATAAAAGTCTGAGTTATTAAACTGGGAAACTTAAAAAATAACTCAGAGGGTGTTGCTTATAAATTTCTTTTCATGTATTGCATTATTCATACATGAGTAGCTTTTCTTTTTAAAATCTAGCTTTGTAATGTAGTCCTAAAACAATAAAATGTCTTTTCTGACAATAAGTTAATTTTGATGTGATTTCCAATGTAAAAATCAGGTATTCTATTTTTCTAGAAGAACCTAACAAGACATGTGACAGCAGTAACACTAGTGCTACCACTACCTCCATCCAGCCTAATCTGGAAAACAGTAACAGCAGCAGTGAATTAAGTTCTTCCCAGAGTGATTCTGCTAAGGCAGCTGATGATCCTGACAATGGAGAAAGAGAGTCTCCCACACCTGTCTCTATGCAAGAAGAGATAGGTAAGAATACATGTCATACATTACAGCAAGCCTTTTTTTTTTTCCATTTTTAATTTTTAAAATGAAAGTTTGATGGGGGTGGGAAGATTTAGATTTTCTTTTCATTTTTTTTCCATTTTTTTTTTTTAACACAAGTAACACTTGCACCCATTGTTTTTGTTTTAAAAAATACAAAAAGCACACAGGAAAGTAGATCTTTTTCACACCCTCCTCCCCAAAGGTAACCCCCATCAACAGTTTGGTGTGTAACATTTTTATCTTTCTCCATGCAATTTCATTAATGTATGTTGATACAAAGTTTTTTTTTAAATTTTAAACAGGATCATTTTGCATGTATTGTTCTGCATCTTGTTTTTATTCACTCAGTAATACATGTAATGGATATTTTTGTGTTATAAATGGAATTCATTCTTTTTAACTGCTGCATGGTACTTCACAGTATGGATGACCCACAATTCATTTACTGTTTATTTAATAATGGACATTTAGACTGTTAACAGGTTTTTTTATTATTACAAATAGTGGTGCCTTTTAACATTCTCAACATACATCTTTGTGTACTTATCAAGTATGTTTGGCAGAATAGAAACAGTGAGTGGAGTAGCTGGGTCTAATGGTTAGGTACATGTTAAAGTAGTGATGGCTACTGCTTCATTGTACATGAAAAGTGATTTATGCTGATAATTTACATACATATGTATTTCTTCATACACTGACCTGAATTCAGCATCATCAGTCTCTTAGAGTTTTGCCGATGGTAAAGTATTTCATTTTAAGATTTGCAGATCCCAGCTTACTAATGTGGTTGAATTACTTTTTGTGTGTTTGCTCAACTTTGTGAATTGCTTTTTTCACGTCATTTGCTCATTTTTTACTATTTTTCCTTAATGAGTTTTAAGAATGCTTTATAAAGTATTATGGCTATTAATCTTTGATTTTACATGTATACATATATAGTCATTGCTTGTTTTTAACTCTGTTACGTTGTACAGCAATTTTTACATTTTTATCTAGTTAAATTTATCAGTCTTTTTCTGTAGGGTTTCTCTGGATTTTATTTCTTACTAAGGAAGACCATCCCTATTCCAAGAATATATATATGTATATTTTATAGTTATTTTGCATAATACTTCTATAACTGTTTTTTATCCTTCTGGAGTATAATTTTATGTATTGTATGAGGTGGGGACCTGTTTTAATTAGGACTTTTTAAATTGCAAGTGACCAAATCAGCTTAAATTAGTTTAAGTGAAAAGGGAATTTAATTGCTTGTATAATGGGGAAGTCCAGGCCATCATCAGGGATAACTGGACCCTCAGGTATCAAAATTCTTTCTGTCTTCCTCTTTCACTCTCACCTTTTGCATCTGCGTATGTTTGTATGTTAACTTCATTCTCTCCTAATACAGACAGGCTTTTCCCAAGTGGCATCAGCAGTTTGTATTCATATCTTCCCAAGGCCTGTGACCCAAAGGCAAGGCCACTACTCCTACTCCAAATCCAAAGCCCTTGAGGAAGGAATTTGAGTGGCCTAACTTGGACATATTGTTCCCACCCCTGTGGCCAGGGCAGGCAAGGTATTATGATTGATGGCTCCCGCAAAAGTATATGATTCAAGTGGGAGTAGTCTCCAAGAAAGAGAGATGCTATAAAGATAGAAACAGTAAATAACCACAATTCTACCCTTTGGTAGCTTAGCACAAACTTGTGTATTCAAATTAAAAAATGCTTCTGCCTAACGTAATGCCAAGATCTTACCCACAACTGAAACTTTTTCAAAAAATTATTTTCCAAAATTATATTTGGTAATTACAATTGTGTCTTGGGTATCTTCTTCTGTGTTTGTCTATTATTTTTTACTAGAGGCCTGGTGCACGGATTTGTGCACTGGTGAGGTCCCTCGGCCTGCCCTGTGGGGATCGGTCCAAAACCTGCTCTCCGACATCCCCGAGGGGTCCCGGATTGCGAGAGGGCGGTTCTTGGGTGACACACCCCGGAATCAGGTTCCTTCTTCTCTGTGTCACCCAAGAACCATAGCTGCCAAGTCACCGCAGCTCGGCAGCTCCTGCGTTGAGTGTCTGCCCCCTGGTGGTCAGTGCGCATCATAGCTACCAGTCAGAAGGCTGGCCAGTCGCTTAGACTTTTATTAATTAATTAATTAATTAATTAATTAGATCTAGATGTGGCTTATCTTGATCTCAATCCACCAGCCATTCTTATAAATCTTGCTGCCATTGGTTTTCTGGGAGGGTGGCTGTGGATGAGAAGTGAGGAGCCTATGGGAATATCGCCCTTCTAGAGGCTTTTCTGTTTTAGCAGCCTAGTTCTGGCTGGCTGTTGTCAGGGATGGGTTGCTGAGAATTGCTATAGGTTTGACTAATCATACAATTTAGCTTGGCAGGTTTGGCATTTTCTCTGGCAGTGGTACTCCCTTATAGATTGCTTGGGTACCCAGCTAGTACCTAATGGCCATAAATGTGGTTCCTGAAGGTAAACTTCTTCTACTTGCCCTCAGGCGAATAGTCTGTCTAAGCTCCTGCCTCCTCACATCATTAAACACTGAGCTCCAGAGGCTGGGAGGAAGCAGCTCTGTACTCTGCCTCCAGGCTGCATCTAAGTGATTCACCGCCTTTATAGTGTGGCCTTTGGGCAAGGGGTGTAAGATAAGGACCTCCATTCGAAGCCTGGTTTCCTTTCAAGTCTTACCCCTAGGGATGAATTTTCTGCCTCCTTTCCCTTATTTGCAGTAAATTTTGCTTGAAGGGCTTCTTTTTAAAAGCTCTGTGCCATTCCCTTTCTGCTTTTTTCGGAAGTCCAGCCTAGACCAGACAATGTCTAAAAAGTCTTTATTGTAGGACTTTATAGATGATCCCAAGACATAGCCATCGTGGTTCAACATCTTGGCATAAACCTTCAGCATGGGTGGGCTTCTGGTTTGGGGCCCAAGGGACACTGTTGGTGGTCTGACCAGCTGCTTTGCTGCCATACATTGGAAGTTTCTAGTTTTCCAGCCTGGGATGGCAAAATGTCCAGTACCCCTATCACATCTTGATTTAGTCAGTGCCATATTTTGGGATCAAAATCTTAAAATACTCTGCTGGATTGTTTAGAATTTATTGATTATATTGATTATATATCTGGTGACAGAAATTCACCAGACTTGCTTAAAACAAAAAGAGAATTTTATTGGGAAGTACAGAAGTAATGACAGCACCAGGGGCATTATTGGACCAGTAATAACTCAGTGAGGTTATCACTGTTCTTCCCCTCATGTTCAACACTTCCCCACCCTCATGATGGGCTTATTATCTCTTACTTTTTATTGGATGTTTTATCCATGTCATGAGGTAAAAGTGGCCAACCTTTAATTTATAACCTTTATGCTCATTAATGCCCTTTCTCCATCTCCAACTTTTCTAAAGCAATACTATTTCTCATTCTTTAGATTTTCAAAATTGGAATAATTTGCTGAATGACTTGGACCACATAACCAATTCTGAGGCGATCACTGTGGCCAACCAGTGATATGCTCTCTCTGGCTGAGCTGGATGAGTTTGCTCACTCCATACATAGGGCAAGATACTTATTTGCAGTCCTGGCAGATTCATGATTGTAGTGGGTGGGGGAAAAGCATATCCCCAAAGGAAAGAAGGGGTGTTGAATACATAAGATTAATAAATGTTTACTGAATTGTTTTAACTTTAGTATTTTTCAAAATAGATAAGCCACTTTTCCCAATCCAATTTTTTTTTCTCTATTTAGAATGTCATCTTTATATTATACAGTATAGTAAGTTTTCTGTTCGGTTTTCCATTTGCCAATGCCATGCTGTCTTAATTTTATAAAGCTTTAAATTAAAAAAAAAAATGAGATCTTGTTCAACTATCTGGCCAATAGAAATTGGATACTGATACAATCGTTTCAGACAGTATAGAAATTTTCAGCCTAAGTGAGATTCATGGGAAAGCAGAAATTATTCCTGTCTTAAAAATTAAGTCACAATGAAAATGTGAGAGGCCTTTTTTATATTAAGAAAAACTAATTTACTTAATGTTCACATGTATAATTATTTGCATATACAGATAATTATCTGGATTTTTTAGGAGAAAATTCACTTGGCATTTTATATTTATAAGCTTTCAACCATTAGGTATTTAAGCAGAATTTCATTGGAAATCTTTCTAAAATTAATTGTATCCTTTACTTTTTATATAGAAATCCACATTTATTATATAAAGCAACATCTTATTACTGTGCATTTTGAGTTGTTATATTTGTTACTTATAAAATTGTAGCAGCCCTTACTGTTTTCTAGTAGATGAGCTTTGAAACAGATCACCTGACATGTTTGAATTTTCTGTAAAATAATAAATGACTCACAGTTAAGTTCTGACATAACTTTCTTTTAAATAAAACCTGTAAGAATTAATACATTTGCTTTGGCTCTTCAAGGACTTTTTCTGTTTACTTTTTGGATCTTAGATGTGCACCAGGTATGTTTTAGATAAAGTAGCAGTATATATAATTTACTTACTGTTAGCAATTACTTCTGGCTTTTCATTTGTTAACAGGTGATTTCAAATCAGAAAAGTCTAATGGGGAAATAAGTGAGTCTCCTGGAGGTGGACGAGGAGCATCCGGTTCAACTCGAATTATCACGAGATTACGGAATCCAGACAGCAAGCTTAGTCAGCTGAAGAGCCAACAGGTGGCAGCTGCAGCTCATGAAGCAAATAAGTTATTTAAGGAGGGCAAAGAGGTGTGTTCTTCCTGCTTAAAACAAACATTTTTGGAATGTAAAAATAATTTTATTTACTGTACCTTAGAAATAGTGAAAGTAAGTTTATAGAACCTCTTTTGACTTCTATTTTCTCCATTCCAAGAGTGTCTTGGCTAACAAGAATTACAGTATTACATTTAGAAGTATAGTTGTGCCCCTGGATTTCAGTCCATGCAAAGAAATGCTGTAAATGTGTGGTATACTTTGTTTATGATTATTTTATTATATGTAATTCTAAAGAAATCAGTGCTTTTTTCCACATAGGGTAATGAGTAGGCTGTTTGTAGATGATTTAATGCTCAGCTCCAGCTAGAATCATTTTAGGTGAACCTGCAGCAAAAAGATAGGACTTACTCCTTGATTGCAGAGTACAGTGCATAGAACAGCACAGCATCCCAGCTCTCATTGTGAATGAAAAGATTGAAGCCAGTACTCAGTATTTCTGCCCCTCACCTAGCCATGGTGACAGAGTAATGACTACAGAGGTATCTCCCAGTTGAGAATCATTTGCAGGGTAGATATGCAAGAATATGCATTGTTTGTAACATAGGAATTGATTTAAAACACTGACTTTTAAACTTTTTTTCTACTCTGACCCTTAGTAAGACATTTTTCATAGTCCCCAGTACACTCAAAAGTGTCCTGAAATAGTATTTTGCAGTACTATGTGGGAAGCACGCTGTTATTTTCTCTTCTGTTGTATTATATTTCATTTTTTTAAAAAGCTGAATAAGGCCCACTATTGATTTCATAATTCACAAAAGGACTGGCATCAACTCTTTGAAAACATTATTTTAGATTATCCTCAGGCTCTTCTACTAAAGCCGAAATTGATTAAAGGAGCAGAAGAAAAGCTATTTTTAGGAATATATTTTTTGGGGAATAGTACATGTAATGCCCTCCTTTTTCCTTAACCTATATATTGTAGGCTTGAAATAATGATTTGGTGAATGATTTACACATGTAGTTTTGTGTGTATATTTGAGATGCATGAAAATAATTATGTCTGACATATAATAGGCATTTAATAGAGGTTAGTTTACTTTTAAACTTCAGAAGTTCAGTCATAAGATGTATTTGGAATGATTAAATTACAAATTATTGAAAGACAATTTGCAAATTTGATATAAACAATGGAGTCTTTTTATTTTCTTTGTCAGGTACTGGTAGTTAACTCTCAAGGAGAAATTTCACGTTTGAGCACCAAAAAGGAAGTGGTCATGAAAGGAAATATCAACAATTACTTTAAGTTGGGTCAAGAAGGGAAATATCGTGTCTACCACAATCAATACTCCACCAATTCATTTGCATTGAATAAGCACCAGCACAGAGAAGACCATGATAAGAGAAGACATCTTGCACACAAATTCTGTCTGACTCCAGCAGGAGAGTTCAAATGGAATGGTTCTGTCCATGGATCCAAAGTTCTTACAATATCTACTCTGAGACTGACCATCACCCAACTGGAAAACAATATCCCTTCATCTTTTCTTCATCCCAATTGGGCTTCACACAGGTAAAGGAAACTAAGGTTCATTTATTGCTGTGAATATAGTGACTACAAAATGATCATTGCAGGTGTGTACTTAAAATGGTCATTACCAGTGAATTGAATGAAATCAGTTTAGTTAGCTAAACACTGAGGACCTTAGGGATGTGAGTGTACTTCTAAGTTACTGAACCAACAGTAACATTTGGGAGATTTCTGGAAAACAGACTCTTTATCCCTGGAATGAAGTAGAGATCAAAGGAGAACAGAACACTGTGGACGGTTTAAGAAGTTGGAGGACTAATTGACCTTTGGGATTCATTCCAATGGTCAAAATTTATAATTCTATGAGATAGAAAATTCCAGTAGCGGTATATTTATACCTGCTTAGCCTAGAAACATGTCCTGTAAGATGGAGGTATCGTAAATTACAACCCTTGTGCTTATAACTTAGGATCAACGAAGTGAAATGTTTGTTTTTCCTTCTGAAATATAGGGCAAATTGGATCAAGGCAGTTCAGATGTGTAGCAAACCCAGAGAATTTGCTCTGGCTTTAGCTATTTTGGAGTGTGCAGTTAAACCAGTTGTGATGCTACCAATATGGCGGGAATCTTTAGGACACACCAGGTAAGTGAATTCTGAGCCCTGTGAATGGTGTGTTAGACTCCTTTTTGGAAGATTAGTCTATTGAGAATGAAAGTGAATGTATTTAAAAGAGCATATTAAAGACTTAATTCTTCTTGGCCTCATTTTTCTCCTGTATGATAACATATAAACATGAGTGAACATTAGTTCTAATTTATGATATAGAATTGTAATGATTAAAGTACATCAAGTATATGAAGTAAATATTTTCTATTGTAAAAAGCATCTTTATTATAGAATAGAAAGAGCATTCAGATTTTTTGAATATTCTAGAATGTTTCAGGTACTGTACGAGGCATCTAATTTATTTAGAGTTGAATGTCTGGCCAAAGATCATGTTAGTTCCTAAGTAGATCAAGAGCTCTGTAACTTCTTCAGATGGTTAAAAAAAAAAAAAGATACATTTAGTGCCTTGAATCTACTTTTTCACCCTAGGGATTTTTTATTTATTTATTTTAACTTTAGTTAGTCTTTAAGAAGTTATTACACATACGTGGCAGGGGAGATACCATGATCACAAAGTGGTTTTCCCAGGGCGAGGCTTATCCATTGCACTCCGGATGTGCCGACCCCTGCAATTTCCCCAAATGTGGGAAACTCGACTGCATAATTTGTGGTAGTGGGGGACTGCATTTGCGCACACACACAAAAAAGTTATTACAATAAAACTAATACAAGCTTATGGTAAAAATGTAAATTATTATTCCGTGTGAAAAATAAAAATCGTTCTACCTACAGGACCCACTCCAAAGGTATAACACTGCCATTTTTAAAATATGAATATAGGTTTGTGTTGCTTTCAACATCTGTTTTATTTTATAATGAAAAGTTTTTTTAAGAAAAGTTCACTTATACCTACTAAACATTTTTCATTGGCTAAGGGTTGCTCTCAGTTTTCTTTGGTGTTTTCCCATATAAATCTTATTGATACTTTCTCTTTTCTTCCTGTTTTGGCTATAACTGCTGCTACCAGTAGAGCCTTCCACAAATAGAATGGACTTAGTTCTTCCAAGGATAACAAAAACGGGCGATGCTAAGGTGCTACAGCCTGCGCCCCTGGGAGGAGAGCTAAATGGGTGGCACACCTTTATTCTACTCCTTATGGCTTTCTTTTATCAGGGTAAAGCCAGGAAAGAGTCAGAGGCAATGCTCTATTTCTGTTGTTCCTTCTTGCATTTAACTCCAGACTTGCGCCAAACCATTCAGTCCAACGTTCTCCAATTCAGTGATTGTCCTGAAACTTGTTTTAGTGGACCAGGCAGCCACCTCTCTGATGGCAGAGAACACTTCTTTGAGAACTAAAGCTAATCCAAATGTTGCTAAATAAAACTCCCAATACTCAAACATAACTCTTTGGAATTATTAAATCATGCCTTTTATAAATTTGTTTCTGATTATTAAACATTCTAATGAAGATGGATTTTGATTTGTAAAAAAAAAATTGAGGTATTTTTTTCTTTCTGTTTGTCATTATAACTAGTCTTCTAAACAGGTTACTTAGTGACAACTTGGTAGCATGAACTTTTTTAATATGACAAGGTGAGATAAAAATAGGACACTGAATTTTTAAAAATATTAGAGACCATGATTCAGGAAAATTAGAAGTTAATAATAGGACTTCCATTTCTGGCAAAACTGTGGTCAGCTACTTCTAGGTGACTTCTAAGAAAATATCTGTGAATTTAAATATTTTATTTAGAAAATGTTTATTGTGATATTCAATAACAAAGCTTTAAGAACAATCTAAATCTAAGAGAAAATTGTAGTCTTTATTAAAAAATAGTACAGAATACCTAAATAGCCCTGGCTGGGTTGGTTCGAGCCTCATCCTGATGTGCCAAGGTTGCAGGATTGATCGCTGGTCAAGGCACACACAGGAATCAACCAATAAGTAGAACAGTGATGGCAAACCTTTTGAGCTTGGCGTGTCAGCATTTTGAAAAACCCTAACTTACCTCTGGTGCCGTGTCACATGTAGAAATTTTTTGATATTTGCAACCATAGTAAAACAAAGACTTACATTTTTGATATTTATTTTATATATTTAAGTGCCATTTAACAAAGAAAAATCAACCAATAAAATGAGTTCATAGGTTCGCCATCACTGAAGTAGAACAACAAACCAATTCTCTCTCTCTCTCTCTCTCTCTCTGTCTCTCTGTCTCTGTCTCTCTTTCTCTCCCCTTCCACCCTTCCCTCTCTTTTCTTCCCTCCCTTCTGTCTCTCTAAAAAAAATCAATAAATGAAAGGAAAATAAAGAATACCTAAATAAATGGAAATATATTTCATGTTCATGTATAGGAAGACTCAATGTCTTGAAAATGACAGTTTACCTTGTGTTAATATATAAATTAATTTCAATAACATTGATAATTATTGTTGAGCTTTCTGTAGGATTTGACAAGATGATTAGAAAATTTATATGGAAAGGGGCAGTAATAGAAAAGGTTTGTATGATAAGGTAGGACTTGCCCTACCAGGTAACAAAACTTATTTGGTAGCTATATAATACTGTGTTATAGATGCAAAGATAAACAAGTAGACCCATGGTACAAAATAAACAGTCCAGAAGGAGTCCAACCCCCATATAGAAATACATTTATGATAGAAATAGCATTAGAAAGAATGAACTATTCAATAAAAGGTGCAGAAATTAGTTTGATTCTCGGTTAGGGCATATACCCGGTTGTGTGGGAGGCAGCTGATGGATGTTTCTCTCTCCCTCTCCCTTTTTCTCTCTCTAAAATTAAAAATAAAATTAAAAATAACTAGGGCCCTAACTGGTTTGGCTCAGTGGATAGAGTGTCAGCCTGTGGACTCAAGGGTTCCAGGTTCGATTCCGGTCAAGGGCATGTACCTTGGTTGCAGGCACATCCCCAGTAGGGTTGTGCGGAAGGCAGATGATCGATGTTTCTCTCTCATCGATGTTTCTGGCTCTCTATCTCTCTCCCTTCCTCTCTGTAAAAAAATCAATAAAATATATTAAAAAAGAAAAATAAAGTAATTGTTGCCCTCGCAAAGATAATAAAAAATAAATAAATAAATAAAAATAACTAGAAATCGATCCAGGGACATAGAAGCATGGAACAGACGGTTGAATCTCAGAGGGAAGGCTGGGGTGGGTGGGTGGGTGGGAAGAGATCAACCAAAGAAATTGTATGCATATATGCATAACCCTTGGATGCAGACAATAGTGTGGTGAAGGCCTAAGGTGGGGGGTGGGGGTGGACTAGAAGGGGTCAGTGGGGCAAAAAAAAAGGACATATGTAACAATACTTTCAACAGTAAGATTTCAAAAGAAAACTAGGGCCTATTATACATTCTTCGGATTGTCAAAAATTGAAAGAGTATTGGCAAAAATGTGACATAATAGAAGGAGAATTCTGCAACATTGCTGATAAAAGAGCAACTCGTATAATGGTTGCTACAAGCATTTTAGAGAAAAATTTGGTAAAATCAAAGTTGAAAACTTCTACTCGTAACTAAATACCTTAGTCAAACCTTACATGTGTATATGAAAATACATGTAGAAAGGTAATTTTTTATAACACTTTGTAGTGGTGAAAATGTGCTGATAACCCTTAAATGCTCAGGATCAGGCATGTTGAAATTGTGGTGCAGTTCTGTAATGGACTACTAGATAGTAGTGAAAAACAAAGTGCAACAGTGTCATTGAGATTGAATCTCATAAATGTACAACAGAGTGAAAACAACTCTTTTCCTAAAAAATACATGGAGTATGATTCCATTTATGTAAAATTTAAAAACATGTATGCTAATACAGTGGTACAGTATTGTTTATAGATATGAACACTTGTGATAAAAGGTTAAAGCAATGTAAGGGTTTATGCTCGAAACTGAAGAAATATACCTCTAAATAAATACCAGGTGGTCAAAGAAAAATCATAATGAAAACTAGAAAACATTTTGAATGGAAAGTTTATGAGAATACTACATATATTGACATTTGGGGGCTATAACTAAAGAGTGCCCAGGGAAACCCCGGCTGGATGGCTTAGTTCAGTGATGGCGAACCTTTTGAGCTCGGTGTGTCAGCATTTTGAAAAACCCTAACTTAACTCTGGTGCCGTGTCACATGTAGAAATTTTTTGATATTTGCAACCATAGTAAAACAAAGACATATTTTTGATATTTATTTTATATATTTAAATGCCATTTAACAAAGAAAAACCAACCAAAAAATGAGTTCGCGTGTCACCTCTGACACGCGTGTCATAGGTTCGCCATCACTGGCTTAGTTGGTTGGAGCGCCATCCCTTATACTAAAAAGGTTTTGGGTTCCATCCAGGTAGCGTATGGGAGGCAACTGACCACTGTATCCCCCCTTTCCTCCCCACCCCCTTTCCTCTGTCATGCCATCCTCCCCTTCCTTTCCCCTCTCTTTGAAATCAGTAAACATATCCTTGGGTGAGGATTAAAAAAAAAAAAAAAAAGAGTACCCAGGGCAAATTGGTAGCCTTCAGCATTTATATTGGAAAAGAAAAACTAAAATTAATTAGCGAGGTATAAATCTCAAGACGTCAACCCAAAGAAAGGAAATATTAAGGAATATCAAATAGTATATATTTCATGAAATAGAAAACAAATATGCCTTAGATACAATTACAATTTATAAATCCCTGATAAGATTATCAGAAAAGGAGTGAGGGGGGAGAAAATTAAAGAACCAATATCAAGAAGAGAAAATGGGACATACCAACCAACCCATATTCTCTCACTGGTATTAGGGACTTAACCCTTCACAGGGCTTACTATTGCTGTACTCGGGCTTCCTGCGTCCACAGAGAAAGGGGCTCCTACTTTTCGATAGAAAAGTTGGGGGGTGGGGAGCCCCATGGATCTCAGTCATTGGACTGAGTAGGCCATAGGCTACACTCTTCTGAGGCAAGAAGAGGATTTCTGGTTCAGTTTAAAGACTATCTCAGGAGATGGGCAGGACCAGATGATTTCATAGGGAAGTT